CTTTCTTGATTGATTCGGGTGCATCAATTAACACAATCACGGAAAAAGTCTGGGACCGTCTCGGTAAAAGTAATGCAACTCTTTTCAAGAGAAAATTCCAATGTGATCGGACATTCACAGCTTATGCAAGCCAAACCCCCCTGCAAGTACTAACGGTTTTCGAGGCATGGATTTCGGTGAACGATTCGAAACCAAGGTGCTATGCTGAGTTTTTTGTAATAGAAGGGGCCAACAAATCCCTATTGAGCAAAACCACCGCGGAATACCTCAAAATTCTTCAAGTAGGCCTCGGTGTTAACAATATCGAAGTCGGAATCGAACAATTTCCCAAGTTTCCTAATGTTCAAGTCAAACTGTCAATTGACCAGTCTGTTGTACCACGAAAGCTTGCTTATTTGAGGGTACCTGAACCAATGAAAGATAAAGTCGATCAGAAAATTTTGGAGATGTTACGCACTGATGTGATCGAGCCAGCGGATGGTCCAGCAGATTGGATCTCGCCGATGGTTGTTGTACCCAAGGGTAAGGACGACATTCGGCTCTGTATCAATATGAAACATCCGAACAAAGCAATTCAACGAGAACATTTCCCGCTACCCGTCATTGAAACGTTTTTGAACAAGCTTAGAGGTGCAACGCATTTTTCGAAACTCGATATAACGTCGGCATACCATCACGTAGAGCTTCACCCGGATTCTCGTAGTATTACAACGTTTATGACGGATCGGGGCCTTATGCGATTCAAAAGGTTGATGTTTGGGATCAACTGTGCTCCTGAGATCTTCCAACGAATCATGACACAGATGCTGGCAGGAATTGATGGGGTGATTGTCTACATTGATGACATAGTCGTGTCTGGTAAAACTCAAGAGGAGCATGACGAGAGATTGCAGCAGGTTCTAGCAGTTCTCAATGAGAACAACGCTCAACTCAACAACGAAAAATGTATATTTGATGTCACGGAACTAGAGATTCTAGGTTTTAAGGTTAGCTCGAAGGGGATAAGGCCATCGGATGAAAAGGTAAAAGCCATCAGGAATTTCAGAAAGCCTGAATCAAAAGAGGAAGTTAGGAGTTTCTTGGGTCTCGTTAATTTTGTTGGCCACTTCATACCGCATCTATCGACTAGAACTGAACCACTTCGGCAGTTCTTACGGGGAGATGTTTTGGTTATCGGTCAGGAACAAAACGACGCTTTCGATGATCTTCGGAAGGAATTATCAAACAACGTGCGGACATTAGGGTATTTTGATCCAAAACATGCTACAGAGCTATATGTTGATGCGTCTCCTGTCGGCCTTGGGGCAGTCCTCGTCCAGAGAGATCAAGACACTCCGAGAATTATCAGTTTTGCGTCAAAAGGATTAACGGCTACCGAGCGAGTGTATCCTCAGACCCAACGTGAGGCGTTGGCGGTGGTTTGGGCGGTCGAAAAATTTTATTTGTATTTGTTCGGTCTGCACTTCACTATTTTCACTGACCACAAAACTCTCGAATACATCTTCGGGGGCAAACACCAGGAAGGGAAACGTGCGCTTTCTCGGGCTGAAGGTTGGGCTCTTCGACTACAACCTTTCGATTTTGAGATCAAGCATATTGCAGGACCATCCAACATTTCGGATACTCTCTCGCGACTTTGTCCTTCAAACGATTTACCATTTGACGATAATGCTGATCACTATTTATGTGCAGTTGGGGAAGGTCCTATGGCAATTACACTGGAGGAAATTCAAATTGAAACAAGCTGTGATGAAACCCTTCAGGGCGTAGTGGAAGCGTTGGCGTCGGGAAGTTGGCCAGCAGTTCTTTTTCGCTACCAAGCATTTTCAAGAGAGCTAGGAGTTACAAATGGAATAGTCGTTCGGGATGAAAGAATCGTTCTTCCAAATAAATTACGTTCGAGGGCATTGGAGATCGCTCACAGGGGCCACCCGGGAGTAGTAACCATGCGAAGAAAACTTCGAGAGAATGTATGGTGGCCGTGTATGGATCGGGACGTGGTTGATAGAATTCAGGAGTGTTCTGGTTGTGCTGCTGTTAGAAATGAAACACCACCAGAACCTATGCACAGGAAAGCCATGCCAGAACGTGCCTGGCAAGAGATCGCTATTGATTTCTTTTCAGCGAAGGAATGCGCAACGTTTTTAGTGGTCGTCGATTACTACAGTAGATTTATACAAATCGTCGAAATGAAGTGTACCACAGCAGCAAAAACGATCGAGGCACTGGAAGGATTATTTGTGGAACATACGTATCCAGAAAAGATCCGCAGCGATAATGGGCCTCCGTTTTCGAGTGAAGAGTTCGCCAGTTATTGTTTGAGTAAAAATATCAAACTTGTACGCACAATTCCGTATTGGCCGCAAATGAACGGCCTCGTCGAGCGGCAGAACCAGGGCATACTTAGAACGCTTAGGATTGCTAAGGCAACGAACTCAGACTGGCGAAAGGCTGTCAAAGAGTACGTGTACATATATAACACGACTCCACACTCAGTTACGGAGAAAGCGCCAATGGAGCTTTTAACTGGTCGACCGGTTAAGGATTTGCTACCTTCCTTGAGAACCGATCCTTGCTGGCATCGTGATGAGACTGTGCGTGACGGTGATGCTATTAAGAAGATCAAAGGGAAGATATACGCCGATCAACGTCGTCATGCAAAAATTTCAGAAATAAAAGTAGGTGATGACGTGATGATCAAGAATTATAATACTGGAAAGCTAGAGCCTAAATTTCGCCTAGAGAAATTTAAAGTGATGCAGAAGTCCGGCAATGATACAATAGTCGCAAATGGGAATGGAGTTCAACTACGTCGCTGTGTTACTCATCTGAAGAAGTGGCCTTCGTCATCATTACCTCATCCGTCGTCATCACCAACATCTTCTGAATCATCGTCACCATCAACATTACTTCCTCGTCGTGAGTCATCACAGGGAGCACAATCTCCGCCATCCCTATCTCCGAAGACATCTAAACGCAAGAATCCAGACGAACCGGAATTACTTGATAGGAAACACCCCAAAAGGAATAGGAAGTTGCCACGTCGATACGTTCAATTTTTAACCGGAAGTGATTGATCTATTTTGTTTAGAGTAGAGGAAGGATGTAGAGTTTAGGATTAGAGTGTTCAGAAGCTTGGATATGATTTGAGAGAGCAAGCAAGAGGTAGAGAGAGATAGAATGCGGGGTTGTAGGTAGGAGTTTCATCTAGCTAGGGGATTAAGGATTGGACGGTACAAGTGGTTGGTTGTGAAATACAAGTGTTGTGGAAATAAACCAAACATAAAAGGAACGTGTTTCTTATTAAAATATCATAACCCATGTTATAGAGGTAAGATTCTACAATAAGTTTACCAATCTCTTAAATAATTAATAACTTTTTCCTGTCTCGTTTTACATAGAAACGATCTTGAGCAAAGTTATAGTTGAGAAAATTTTCTATAAGAATGGCTATCGAACTATTTCGCAGCTCAATATGGAAAAAGACTAGAAGGCAATGAACAAAAAGTTGAGATTTCCCATAGTACTTTCACAAACGAAGTGACAGACGACTTACTGGCGAAGAAATCCATTAAAATAATGTGGTTCACTGTAATAGAATTTTCTTGGAAGCTTGTGCCATCATCCACCAGATGGGTTAGTTTTTTTGTTTTGATTTGAACAAAGTTGATTTTGTGTACAATGATTCTTTGACAGTGTGCAAAGAGTGCGTATCATTTTGTCATTTTTTTATGCATTTCAGTTTTGAGTAGAGTGAAAGAGATAGAACCAAAACATTCTAGTACATTCGGTTAAAATGCTAGTTCAATCTAGTAGTAGTGTTGCCATGTGGTACAATCAAGTAGTAGTGGTGTTGCCATGTGGTACACTGAAAAATTGCAATAGCAGGTAAGTCACCAAAGTTTTCGAGCCGTTCCGTCTGTCACTTCGTTTGTGGTACTTTACATGCAAACTTCAAATGGCTTGTGCGAAGTCTGTTTCTAACAAAATGAGTTGTAACTTTGGGCGGCTAATCAGGACCCAATTTGAAACCATTTAAGCACTGTGGAGCGAAAAAGTCAAATTTTGCATCAGTCTAATAGATATCATTAAATGAACACATTGCAAAAAATCATGTGTGGGACACATAAAAACTAGAAATACTCAGAGGAAGAGATAGGCGGAGAAAACAAAATACAATTCGGCAGCAGGGATTTGTATCTAAATTATCTTGCAACCCTTGCTAAAACTTAGCATTTCACATGACTTTTACTTTTGATTCGATTTACGTGTAAATTAATAATTGATTGCATCGCAATATTTTGCTCATTTTTTGGTGCCATTAATTAACCAACTAAGATCAATTAATCAATAGAGCTAGAATATTGCTTTTGATTCCAAAAACTAGTTGAATTTGAGAGGCACACGAAACATAAAGGTGATTGAATTTCTGTTCGAATGCAATACTCTCAAATTTAATCTAGTAAGAATAAGAAATCCTCGGAAAAAATCTAATGGGAATGTTCGTTTGGCTCAGATTTTGACAGTTCATTTGGCTCAAAAAATTGTCTCCGCTCATCTCTCCTTCTAGTATTTTTGATAAAAAAATTTTTTTTGAAATTTTATCGGTGAATTTTAGGTAAAATTAAAACCTAATTTCTAGCTGGAATTAGGGCGTAACAGCTTTTGTAAACAATAACTTCTCTCATTGATTTCTAGGACTTCAAGGCACACCCACGCAAACCAAATGAAAGGTAATGAAAGTCCTCTCCTACCCCATGGTTGACTAAATCTGTTTCTCCATAATTCCAGCTCTATCTAGATTTTAGGTCTTCTTATCTTAGCGTGTGTCGTTGGCAAGGCTACCTATTGCACAATAAAGGAACTACCTACTTCATTCGTCATCTGTCACGATCTGGTACTGCCCGAGGATCCCATCATTTTAGTACGCCTTGGTCGATGTAGTTCTAAAAATAAACATTTTCCATCAAAACTGGGCAAGTATTATTCGTTTCCTAAGAAAATAGTGAAAATTGTTGTAAAATATCAGCAGAACTTGTGCAATCGTTTCAATTATCTAACCTTCAATCTTCCGTGTACCGTTTTCTGTATGTCTGTAGAATTTGGGACGTGGAGTGGCCGGTAGACGCGCAATAAAGTCGTCTACCTACCCCCGTTTGGCAGCTTCGATGTGCTGCCTACGATTCAGTAGCTGCTGCTACTGTTGCTAGTAGTGCGTATCGCCCTATCTCTTCCTGTTCCCATTTTTTCATCGAGGGTAGCTCCGTTCCTGTGCGTGGGAGGAGAAAAAACATAACCAGACCGCCCACGGTACAGTAGCAACAACAATGGGTAATCCTAGCCTGACGTACGAGATTCTTCTCTATCTGAATTCGTTCTACTTCGGGATGTTCGCAATGTGCGAACTGGGCATGATGACCCTCAAGGCGGTCAACTTGAAATACCCGGAACAAATCCTGATGCGGGAAACATGCATATTACTATCGCTCTGTCTGGTTGAAACGATACGGATCATCCTCGGTCGGAAGGGCAGTCTCAGTGATCACGGTGAGTAACTACATACGAATGAAAAGAACGGGTAATATTAAGAGCATTTTATTTATAAATCTCAATAATTGTAATTATTACCATATACGGTTGCCAGGACAATGTTGATGTGTATAACAAAAATTACACCATCTTCTATTACAGGCTGGCAGGTCATCCTATCGGTTATCCTAACGATTCCTTGCGCGGCTGGAGTCGGTTATCTCCTGTTCTATCAATTACACCGATTACGCCTCGAATACATCCTATGTGCCTTAATGTTATCTCTCCAGGCAGCCGAGCTACTGTTTGCGATACTATTCGTATTCACACTCTGCCGTCCGACCTCGTACGACTAGATTCGTTCAAATACTCTCCTCAACCCTTTCTTCGTCCTCGAGAGACATAAGGAAATCTCACGCCGATACCAACATCATTCATTTTCGTATGGCCGCATGATAGATCAGCATCAGTCACTCTTTTTGAACACTACATATACATAATCACACCATCCCATCTCGACCGGTCGCCGTCGTTTGATATCAATCTTTTAGCACAAAGTAGGCTTTTTAAAGAGGAATACCGAAGCCAAAATGATGCAGCCAAATTTCCTAGACTCAAACGGACAATACGATTCAAAGATGAAACCGACAAAAATTAAGCAAAACACATAAGACTCAATCCACATAAACAGGATACAAATCTCGTAAAACAACTACATAAGTCTTTTCATTTGAATCTTCATTCATTTTAAATAAAATTCTTATTTGTTTTCAGTTGAAACGAATCCATCATTTCAAGTTTTAAAAAAGTCAACCGACAACAATATTTGTACTTTTTAAGAAACCTGTTTTTATAACTCGTAAGTAATCGATCTACCTACTAGAAATTTATTATTTAATTATTTATGTGTTCTCTGTAAAATCGCTGTAAGTAACTGAAAGCTAGTCACACGACCAAAGAAAATCATTTCCGTTCCAAGCCAAGTTTTCACGTACTTAGTGGCTCGTGCCATTTGCATACTTTAAACCCGGACAACGTCTTTACTACAACAACTAGTCGCGATACGCTATTGATAGGGTAGGTGGTAAAGGCTAAATCAAAGAAATAGTTAAACGGGTTGACAAAAACCAAAACTCGGTTTACATTTGAAGGAAAGTTGTTTTATATATAAGGTGAAGAAAACCAAATAGCGACGTTAGGATTAATGGTAGTTAAATTTGAAAACAATGAAAAACTGCAATATATTCAAAAAAGAAAAAAAAAACATTTTAGACCATTTATACCGGAATCATACACGAAAAATAAATCACGGAAAGAAGAAGTGGAGACGTTGTAAAGTATAACTGCTTCAAAGTAGTTAAACGCCCGAGCAAAGGGATTATCAAAACTTTGTATAATAAAGAAAATCAACAACTACCGAACGTTTCAGCGTTATACGCACCGACTAACTAAACTTTTTAACTCTCGAGAATATCTTAACCTTTTGTAACACGAAGAAACAGATTCGTTGCAATCGTAGAAAAGCATTACCGAACTAATAAATCTTAGTGTTTTTAGTTGGACTAGGTAGTGCAGTTTACCGTTCTAAAGAATACATCATCTCACCTGACCCATTTGAAAACACTTTTACAAATTTACAATTTTAAATATCTTTCTAAAACGGCACTTCAGCTTGAGTAGTAAAAATCGAACCGGGTAATTCCAAGTAGCAATCCGAAAAATACAAGGATGGTAGTTTCATTTACTTTTTCCAGTTTTGTCACTCTACAATCGCTAATAAACTGTAGCTATATAATTTCTAAATATCAAGCAAGACATAACCAAAATGTCCAACGTGTATCTGCGGAATCATGACAAACTTTAAGACAAAAAAAAATCAAATCAGTACTGTGTTCTTCTTTTGTTATCGTGTAATTTTCAAAGCAAAAGACTTTGTAATAAACAAACACATATTATCTTTATGCCTAATTCGTAATCTACTATTGTAACCGGAACCGTAGTTTGTGTTTGAATTAGTGGAGAAAGAATGCCTTGTGCGTGAAAGCGAACGTTCCACTTGCCCGTTCGACTGAGGATGGTAATGGACCATGCAATAAAACATAAAATGAACTTTTCAAGTGACCTATATTAGGTTGTTAGTCTAGTCGAGTGCACCATGAAATCACATTTGATATTTTTCGAACACCTACAAAATTTAAAGTTAGTGATCGCATACTATCAAGAGTCAATCAATAATTTCTCAACCAATTTTTGAGTTTCAAACGGTTTGAGTAGGCAAAAAGTCTGAGGTTCTGAAATATAATATATATTTATGGTGATGGTACTGTAATTAATCTTAACTTCAGTAAAGAATACCTGATTATCAATAAAAATATCGATAATCGCAAAAAATACACCTACCTAAATTGTCGGTAATCATGGATTACATAATTAATATTGCATAAAAATTTACTTAATTTACAGTAAAAATAGCATTTGTAATTAAAAAGTAACGTTTTTATCGGTAAAAATACCTATAATTTTAGGTAAAATAAAATACCTAATTTGATCCCGTTTGCACTTCTGCTGCAGAGATAGGCTAGATTGATCTTTGGAACATCAGTGCTAACATTTGAAAACGGCGCAAAAGCCATTTGTAAACAAATGGTTTGTGGGCCCTTTACTCGCTACCCGAAGAACGCCCACGCAAACCAACAGCATCGTCAGGAAGGGGAAAATTTCCCCTACCCGATGTTGCTGTTGTGTCGCGTGGGTGTACTTCAAGTAGTGAGTAAAGGGCCCACAAACCATTTGTTTACAAATGGCTTTTGTGCCGTTTTCAAATGTTAGCACTGACATTTCAGTAAATAGTGCCGCCTCGTAAAAAAATATATTGAGTAGTGTATGCGGTTTTCAAATAAAGCAATATTATAAAAAATACCTTCAAACAGTTGCAGTCTTCTGTTAGGGAATCCAAAACATACAGCATACTGTAAATAAAATTCATGTCATGTTTCATCTTAAAAGGTACGTAGATATTTTCCATCGTACTTTTCAGATGAATATTACGTGTTTTGGGGATGAAATACTGTTTAAGTGATGCATATAAAAATTAAGTGGAATTCACGTTAATTTTACCGGACCTCAAATGAATGATTGCATAGTTATGTTCAAGTGAACTTGTGCACTGAATTAAAATGACATTTTCCCATTACAGGTAACCTCGGTATAACGTAACTGTCACTTTTGACTTCCACCGTCGATATCTCACAAATAACAATTCAGTCATATAAGTTGGCATGACCAATAGATGGAGGATTGTCTCATATTTCCAATCATTATTATTATTTATTAGTGACACTTTATCACTTCTGTGACATTCGTGTCTCTCATATTTCCAATGGTGTTATTACTTTGTTTGATTTAATGATTGTTAGCTAGAAATCAGCGATGGAAGTCAACACTGATAGTAACGTTATATCGAGGTATTCCTGTATATGCAAGTCTAATAAAATTACACTATTAGAAATTCCAATTAAACTGCTATGCATGCTTGGCATACACAGGTTTGGTCACGAACTGCTAATTTGCTAATAACATTGAACACAGTTGACGAAACATACTCCTTTTTGAAGTAGTAGATAGAATAGAGTTTAAGCTTGTTATAGATACGTAAAAAAAAGATGTTAGTTCTTAGTAATAAACTGTACGTTGTAAAAATGAAGTTAGAAATGCTCGCTGCACATCTCGGAATTTAAGCGTAATTGGTGTTGATTCAAATGTTAAGATTTACCTACTCTTTGCATATCTATAGTAAGCTATGATTCTAATCTATCAATTACTTTAAAGAAAAACAAATTTTAACAACTGAGTGAAAAGTTATTAACAAATGAGCAGTTGGTGTATACAACTGTGCATTCTAAGCATGCTGCTATTATTGAAAATATGCCAGTTAAATAATATATGAACATCTGATACATTTACATAACCAATAGGTTTATGACTTATATAATGCCGTTCATGGCAAGTCCGTCCCATAGCAGCAATCAGCAAACCGAGAAAAACCGTTAGCTTCGTACCATTGCTTGCAGGGAACAAGTTGAGAGGAACGTGGCAGGAGATGCTCGACCACCGACAAACCGACATGAATGATCATACAAATTATAATGAAATTTCTTATTAAAGCGCAAAACTGACATCTGTCGCCGTGTTCGCGGAAAATATTTATCCTAACCACGAACACGCGTACAACATTTAAGAGTTGGTTCGTGTCTAATATATTTCGGAGAAATTATTTTTATCTAGATAAAACATCTCTATGGTTTTGACAATAGAGCTAATATACTATAGAGGAAGAATAGGGCTTGTGTTCCCTTTGTTCCGATGTTGAATAATACCGGGTACAGAACTGTCAAACTGCATAGTTTTTTTTCTCGCTTTGACAGAACTGTCAAACTGCATAGTTTTTTTTTCTCGCTTTGACAGTTGTGTCCCTATTAGAAGTAATACCCCGTTCACATTACAGCCTATATCACGTAATATAGGCTGCCTTGCAATGAGCACTCATACATAGGATTTCCAGTGAAAACTAGATATGTGAGTGCTCATAGCAAGACAGCGTATATCACGTGATATACGTTGTAATGTGAACTGGGTATAAGGAAAAGATGTTTCGACAGCGACGGCAGCGCTATTCTTCCTCTATAGTTTATTGATGAATCTACGCAAAACTGCACCAGTGCATGCGGGTAAAATTTTACTCATTTAATGGGTAGTCCCAGTTTCCCTCGAAAATGCTTACTTTGTAGTCATTATTGGGTATTTTGCGGTTACCGTGTAAGCAAAAGTCAGACTGTGCGTGAAACATGGCGGACTTTGTATGTACTATCATTTCACTCCACCGAAAATTCCCATAAGAAACTGTCTATATTTGCTGGAAGAGCAAATTTTTCGACGGTGCCGTCAACGCCAATTGTGTGGTCTCCTCATTGTTCTTCATCACCAGTTCCTTCGGTCGATGCGTCTTCGACTTTGGAAAGCAACCGTTTCACGATGAGTGTGTGAGTGCTGACCACGTTTTACGTCCATTGCTGCAATGGAAGCACTCTACCCACCATTGGCGATACTGCCATTCAATTAAATTACTGGAAGCGTCTCCCGTTTTGATATTGGACAACGGAAGATAATGTTGTTTATTGTGTTGTACCTTTTGACTATAGTTTTAAGATGTATTGTATAATGAACAAGAATCCTCGGATCTGTAAAGTTAATTCGATTGAGCCTTATCAAATAAATTAATAAAGAAGATCAAATTTGTTCTAGAAAAATTACGACGCCCATGCCAGAAATAAATGGTATTTTTGACTATTCACTGTAGTTGAGTTTGTCGGTTGAACGCTACAATTTTCATGTTTGAATCTACACTGAAGCGGACACAATGGTAGTATCTAAAAATAAATTAAGTCAAAAATACAATTTTATTTCTGGCATGTGTGTGGTATTTCTACTGAAATATGGATGATGCAACCTAATTTGTTGTAATAATTACTATTTTACGTCATGGTAGAATTAATCATGATTTTCTTGCTTGATTTACTACCTCTTTATTCTCAGTGTACAAGGAATTACCTTAAATAAAATTGATATTTCGACAGTGAGCATTCATAAGGGCCTATACGCGATGATCGATTCTCTTCGTCAATTTTCTCTTTTGTTAATAACTCGCTAGATTTAACGTTTCTCGGTGCGTTTGCTGTTGCTTTTGATAGCCAATACGACCTGTTACTACTCTGCATTGAACAAATTCTAGAAAATTGTTTCGCTTAGCTGTAGCAATGTAAAGAGAAAATCGATGAAGAGAATCGATCATCGCGTATTCGCCCTTATGCATGCTCACTGTCGATTTTCCCTCCTCCACTGTCACATGTTGGTCACACTCTTTACTCATTTCCGTAGTAACAAATACCTACTAATTTTCCCATTTTCCCTCAAAAGTGCATACTTTATAGTCATTATTGAGTATTCTGCGATTACCGTGTAGTATATATATTTATAATATATCAAGAGCAAATTTTCATTATGTCGTAAGTAACATTCGCATCAATCCGAGAAAAATAAAGTTTTGTTTTGATGACCGAAAAGTTATTCCTATTTCCAAGTAAACACATATAATCTCATAGTGATAGCAATGTTTGACATATTTAGCAGGGTTTTAATCATACAAATGCAAATCGCTAGCTTTCATGGTAAAAAATACTGGTTTTTGAGTCAAAAGTTATTATACGTCGTTTGGTGGCCCCTATTGTTACTTAAGTCAAAGTGTATTTACCAGGATATTCGGGAGAATTATCAATTACGTCTCCTCACGTGCAGCCCATTCATCATTTTAGGACCACCGAAATCATCTTAGCAACAAACAGTTCGATTTATTCACTTTAATAATGAGAAAGCGAAACGACGAACGTACACTTTTCACGGGTTTCTCAGCGCTGTTACTTAAGTCAAACGGCATCTCCATAGAAATTGGGTGACTTAAGTAACATCGAAAACTATTTTGATCGGAAGGTGATTACGTCAAAAAGCAATTTGACTGGTAAATAAATTTAAAAATGGGATTTGATCCTATATTCGGACAGTATATAGTGTAATAGCAGGAGAATCGATTGACACTGATAGCTCGACTTTGTTTACCTTTGTTACATTCGACGTAATGAAAATTTGCTCTTGATATATAGATAGAGCTGGAATGAGGGCGTAACAGCTTTTGTAAACAATGACTTCTTTCGATGATTTATAGAAAGCTAAGGCTTACAAACGCAAATCAACAACACCATCGTGTAGGGAAAGACTTCCCCTAGCCGACGGTTATGTTGGTTTGTGTGGGCGTGTCATGAGCTCCTAGAAATCATCGATAGAAGTCATTGTTTACAAAGGCTGTTACGCCCTAATTCCAGCTCTATCTATATATATTATACCAAATTAAATTCATTAATAAAAACATCATCGGCGGATAGGATGTATGGATGCGATGGCCAATCAACCAAACTGGTTTGTCAATACCGAGGGGTAAGTTGTTACAAACGAATCGAAGATTTCGATAAACAAGTTTCTATTCCAGCTTGTGCCGGGGAATAGCTTTCTGCAACGAACGGCTCTCCGATGAGTGCTTCTCCTCGGTGTTGGAATATCTGTTTCGTACCATCGATAATCCGACAAAAGACGCCACAGGGAGCCCGACGGACTCGGATGCAGAAACTGAGATGGAAAACCTCCGCATAACAGCCCAGCTGAACGAACAGGAATTCAAGCTGGCACTGCAATCGATGGCTTATTTGGTAAAGCGATCGCTCAAGTATATGCTAAAACCATCCAGTTTACAGGTCGATCTACGCAATTACCTCCAGTTGAGCGAGAATAAATGTAACAGTTTTGTCAAGTATTGGATCCAATCGACGAAGATTGTGTTGGATGCGCTGGAGGCGGACGATGATAATGAGCATGGGAAATCCAACCAGTTGGAGGATGTTTCCTGGAAGGTAAGAGCGCAGCTTTCATCCGAACCACGTCAAAAGGATAAGCTGGCGTTGGGCCAGTTGGAGCTGAAGACCGGTAGAAGGACTGTTAATTTGGAACTGAACAGCGGAGAGATTGTGGAGTTTTACAACCAGCTTGAACGGATACAAGTGGAGCTGGATTCGTTGAATGCTAAGGCCTAGCTTTTAGACGATGTTGAATGGAAATAAATAAACCTTTTTAATTCTTTTTGACTTCCTGAATCTATGAACTGTGATACCTCACTGGCGTTAAGTAAAACATGACTGTCGTACTACACTTATATTGATTGTAAAAGTAACATCTGCACACTGGATAGATAATGCAGATAGGGAATTTGAAAACATATCAGCTTGAAAGTTTACCTGCTGTCTTCTTACCATGCGCGCCTTTTGTTGAATCCGCCGCTGTTATTGTTGGTTCTGCGCGGCGGTGAAGGGCGGAACCCGGCCGGAACTATCGCAGTCAGCTGGTTGATCTCTTCGAAATTGACACCCCGGTGTTCGTCGTTGAAGGAACTTCTTCCTCGAGAATCCCGGGCGCTACCTGCACCACTATTTCGGGAAGCGGCCATTTCCCGAGCCATCGGATTCATTGGATTCGGTCCGGCATAGCGGTTGGCGTTTCTCTCACTGCGTTCAAGAATTTCTGAAACGTAGTGCAAGCCCGCGTTCAAATTCTGGTTTCGAAGTTCCGGAACATCCCGTTCTAGGTTGTGCATCAGATTCGTCATCGTACCGGAGACCTGTCGTTTCTTCATGTAACGCATAATCTCGTTCAGGATCTTTACCTGGTTGGCGTTCAGCTCGTTCATGGAGTGCAGTTCGACGTCACGGTCACGATCAGTCTGGACACTAACTTCGATCGTACGGGCACGGCTTACCGTTTGTGTATTGATGGAAACGTACGTCTTGCTGCGGCGCTGTACGCAGTCCAAGCAGTTCAAGTCTTCGGTTTGTATAGATCGGTCAATAATTCGTTTGGAAGCGGCACCACCCCTCACTGGAACAATGGTAATGGCTTGAATAGTTCCTACGTCTACACTGGATTCAGTTGAGGTTTTTTCCTTCTTTTGATAGGCAATTCTCTGGGAAATGTTGCCCTCGTCCAGACCAAGACGTTCGATCATTTGCTTCATCTTATGGTTGATATTACGGAATGGTTCGCATAGGCCAACATCCTTTGATTTACTGGTGGATGAGTACAAAACATTCTGATCGTTCCAAATCAAAGGTGAACGATTATCAAGCTTCTTAAGGTCAGTATGATAGGTTGGGGCGACATACAAAAACTTTGCCGATTGAAGTTTCGTTTCCTGTTTGTCCAGAATAGAGATGGCTTCCTTTATGCGTAGGATCACTGGAAATAGGCAACAATCATTACGAATTATCCAATAGCGGCCACCCATCCCAACAATATACTCACCTTTCGGATTGACACGAGTTGACTTTTTGCCATCGGTTGAACCTTTCGTCGCAAGGAAATCGGATAAATTGATTTTGTTGTCCAAAAACAGCTGCAAAACATCGATAACTGAAATATATCCCCACCAACAACCAAAAAGCTTTCTCAACCTACTTGTGCGGTGATGTCATCCTTCCTATCCTGCTGATCGGCAGTCGGCATTTCTTTGGCCACTTCTGCCGTCTTCTGTGCGGCAGCAGCAGCAGCCGCGGCCATCATCGGGTTCATCGGGTTCATCTGCATCATCATCGCCATCATGGGATTCATTTGCATCATCTTGGGATCCATCATGAGTTGCATCATCGACGACATCTGGGTCATCATTGCTGAGGAACTGTCGCTGCCACCCGGTTGCATGAGTCTGTCTCTCAACTCTTCGGTTAGATCACGGTGAGGTCGGGAACGGGATCTCGATCTGGATCGCGTCGAACGACGACTACGGACGCGGTCGCGGCTGCGTGATCTCGATCGTCGAGAACTCCTCGCTCTCCGGGGACTTCTGGAACGTCTGCTGGAGCGCTCGGGGCTTCTCGAACGATACCTGGACCTGCTGCGTTCATGCCTGCGGGGAACACGTCGGCCAATGTCGTCCTCATCGTCCGACAAGGACCGCCTTGTATGAACCCCAGGACTACGAGATCTCAATCGACTGCGAGCCCGCTCAAAGTCCTCGCGATCCTTACGAATTTGTTCTTCACGCTCCCGACCTCTATCCGCTTGAAAGTACCTCTGTGAAGGAGCCAGCTCTCGCTCAGCCATACTGCTTCTTCCTTCCTGTGTGGGACTTGACGGGCTCTGCACACGATGAGAAGACTCCCCAAGACGCTTCAATCTTGGGTCCTTCGGTTGACCTTCCGCTGGGATTACCACCACGGAATTCTCAGCAACCGGAATGGTATCTTCCTCCACTGTAATCACCTCTCTCTCCTCCTGAATTATCGAACAATCGGGCGATTTCGTTTCTGCTTCCTCCTCTGGTATCGCTGCGGTTGTGGATTCTACGACCGGCGCAGGTTCCGGTTCGGCCACTTTTTCCACCACTATACGCGCAACTTCCTCTTCAGCGGCTGGAGTAATATTCCAAGCTTCGTTGAACTTTCTTACCTTCTCCAGTTCGTCCTCCTTCTTCTTCCGGGCTCGTTCTTCGGCCGCCTTTTTTGCCCCTTCGCTTCCTTCGGCCCATTCATCCATGACCTCGAAGCTGTCGAGCACTTCGTTCCAAAAATCGGCCGGAACTCCATCGTCGGCACTTTCATCGATTATGCTGGTTCTCGCCGCCATTGTTGTTTAAGCTGATGTTGAGTGACGAATGCCGCTGAGTCAATTCTGCTGATATCAGACCGCTGTGAATGGTAAAGAAAACAAATTACAACTCTAATCCGTACATTGACAATCGATTTTCAAATCTTACATATTTTTTATCTCCACCGCGGACTTTTACACCACAAAATAACGTTATTTTCTATTTGAAAAGTTTAGCAAAATTTATGAAGTTGCAGGCACCGCCGCGAAATACGTTTAATGCGGTGCATAATTTTTGACAGATGTCAATAAAGCCCTATATACACAGAAATTCAAAACAACCCAAAATTAAGTTCTTTTCACTCATCTCCCATGTTCCGTACGATAAGCCAAATTTTGGTAAACCGGCTCAAAGAAGTTCGCATTTAAGCACGGCAAAAAAAAATTACCCATCGCTAAGTTATTTTCAATTTTTTCTACCCAAAATTAAGTTCAATTAACTCAAATTTGGGTATATCGCATATTACTCAATTTTGGCTTCTTGTACGGAACTAGACGGTTGAGTCGAATCTTTCGTTCTATTTTTGACAACAATAGCGAGAGGAAATGAAACGGACAGAGGTCAAATAACTCAAATTTGAGTTTAAAAAACCCAAGCGGTGGGTAGTTTTGTTTTTCTGTGTAGGTACACTCAAAAAATATTGAAATCTAAATAGTATAAAAGTTACGCTAAATAGCAACTCATCTCCGTACCGACGCAAAGGTCGGTATAAAGGGAGAGAATGCAAACTTAGTATAAAAATGGTTTATACGTGCCATAGTATAAAATCGAAATATACTCACAATGCATAGATACGGTTTATTCAAGAGAATGTATTTTTCGCTTCTTTATTTTATTTATGGTAAATATTATTGTTTTCAAATGAAAATAAAAATTGTCTCGGGAAGCTTTTTTCATTAGTTTATTTTTTATTAATAATGTTTAATAAAATACTTACAATTTCGATGCTGCCCAGCAGATTACAGGTGAAGTAGAAATCCGCTGGGATAAAGCCCTTCACCAGCACGAAGCTCCGAAGGGAATCCAGATGTTCTTATTCCTGTCATTTTAGTAAACACTGATCGAATTCCACTCCGTTATTCGGACTTAGTATAATTTTGACGAAAATTTTAATCGAACCAATGGGCCGTATGAATAAAAAGAGTTTACTTTACTTTCCCGTGCTTTTCTTACGGGGAAAGTAAAGTAAACGCTTTTATTCATACGACCTAATGTATAAATTTTGAAAAACCATAAAATGCATAAAATTTAATCTATATTCGTTTTGTAATATTTTTGAGTGTAAAATTAAAAGTTTGCATTGGTTTTTTTGGTAGAAAGCGGTTCACTTTTAAAATGAAAGTCAGCCAACTTTCACATTAAGAGTTGCCCGTTTACTACTTTTAAAAGTTTAAAATTTCAAAATAAATTGTACAACTGTCAAATCACAGACAAACAGACGTAACTCTTTGAAAAACTTGTTCTTGAAAACATAGTATCTCAAAACATATAACCTCAGTAACGACATCTATCTGGCTTCTCGCGGAAAACAAGCTTGCTCGCTAACTCGTAAACAATATTGCATACAAGTTCTATAGAATGTATAGAAACGTCAAAGTGATCCGATGCCAGCGCTGCGGCGAGTAGTTCGCGGAACTGATAATATTCAAATCAACCGTTAAATGCATGAACGAAGATACACAATGAAGAGTTACGTCTGTTTGTCTGTGGTCAAATGAAAAGCATTACAGTGTTGAAATTAATACTGGTTTAATTTTGTTTAACAACAAACTTTTTGGTATGAAAGTTTGATACAGTTGAAATGTCGTGTCAAAGTTTTCAATTGAAATAACAAAATTTTCATCATAAAAATATTATTGTTTTATTTTAAGTTCTAGTGCTGTGTAAATTTTACAGTTTCTAATATGTTATAGAAAGGTTCATAAATACATTTATTATGCACTGTTCAATAATTTTTAAATCCTCCGATGCAAGAATGCTTGATCGGGCAGCTGCAGCAAACGACGCGATTTGCGATATTTCCTAATCCAGAGGCCCGTTTATATGTAAATCTGTTTTCCAATGTAAATGTGGATGTTGTGACGGCCGAGAATTAATTACACAACAGTTAACGAGTATTTAATTGTGTTTATTCAATATAATAATGATGGAGTTTTGTCTCGTGGGTTTTCTTCACTCTCTCTCCTTTTTGAGCTTACTCTTTCTACTTCGCGAACCAAATGACATGACAAAAAGCAAGGTGTTTAAATATAAGGTGAAGTGATACACTCAAAGAAATAGCAATGTTACAACACCTCTCCCTCTCGTAATAAATGCAAGTATGACGTCTATAAATCAAGCCTCTGAGGTGGTTTGATTGAACGACTTGAGCGCCTTAGGGGCATGCTACTACTGTTACCTTCAACAGTTTGACGGTCATCTGATTGAAAAGGTATTACTTCTGGATAGAGTTTGACTGGTGTAGCTGAATGTTGAACCGCAATTACCGGTGTGGTACCTACAATTTCTTCTTCCGATACTACAGACCTTGCAGGAGAGTTCATCGAAGCAGACGATTCAGTTACCGGCATATACCGTTCAACGGCTACCTCGTTTCTAACGGTATCCAACGATTTTCCTTGTAGATTGGCTCCAACTCCAGCAATATGATCAATGTGGCGTTCCCAGATTCTGCCATCGTTCAGACGAACGCTGTAACGTAACTTCCCAACCTTCTCGACAATTTTCCCAAACTTCCATTTATCGTTGGACAAAAAGTCTCTGACACGCACCGAATCACCATCATGGAACTGACGAACGACGTAATTCTTGTTTCCTTTTGACTCATTCTTCGGCAACAGCAAATCCAATCTCGATCGTAGTTGGCGACCGAACACAAGCATCGAAGGTGACTTACCGGTGGCCGGATGAATCATTTTCCGGTAGGTCAATAAAATGTTTGACAGCTCCAAATTCATCTCCGCCTTTGAACACTTCAATGCCTTCAGCTTATGTTTGATCGTTTGAACGTAACGTTCCGCTTGTCCATTTGTTGCAGGGTGGTATGGTGCGCCCATCTTGTGGATAACGCCGTTCATTTGTAAAAACCGCTGAAATGTTGCTGCAGTGAATTGAACTCCGTGGTCACTCACCAGTACTGACGGTATGCCGTAGGTAGCAAAAATGTCTCGACACATGTTGATAGTGTTTTCAGCAGTTATAGACTTACAAATCATCACGATTGGCCACTTGCTGTACGCGTCCACGTAGATGAAGAAATACGTATCCAAGTATGGTCCAGCGAAATCAACGTGGACCCTTTGAAATGGCTCCGTTGGTGGCTCCCAGCAATGTAATGTCATCTTGGCTGGTTCAGCTCGCACTGCCTGACAGTCTGCACAGTTTGCAATCATCTCTTCTATTTCCCGGTCAATTCCAACCCACCAGCAGTAGCCTCTAGCCAATGATTTGGTACGTGTGTTACCGAAGTGAGCGCTATGAAGTTCTTCAAGCACTCGTCTTCTGAGGTTTGGTGGGACGTAGACACGAATTCCTCGTAGCAAACAACCATTCTGGAGAGAAAATTCATTTTGATCCACTCCGAACCGGTCCTTTGGTTCAACAGTTTGCCCATATTTGAGGCCTTGGATTAGGACCCGCAGTGATGACTCTTCGGAAGTAGCTTGGGCTAACTCAGCAGCAGTTAGTGGCAATGTGTCAATCTGATTCATCTCAATGACATCAGTCTCTTCGATTGTATCCTCCGCATCCGTATTGCCTAACGGAATGCGAGAAAATGCATCAGCATTAGCGCTTTGGTTGATTTACGAAATCGGATCTCATAGTCAAAAGATTGTAAATACGTTGCGTAATGTTGCATCCGTAAAGCTGACATCACGGGCAGACCCTTGTGCTCTCCGAATATCTTTGTTATCGCCTGGTTGTCCGAGATAAGAGTAAACTTCCGGCCGTATAGGTACTGAAAATACTTCTTCACACCAAAGATGATAGAGTACGCTTCTTTGTCTACCTGCATGTACCTTTGCTGTGTACGATTCAACGTTTTTGATGCAAACTGTATGGGTCGTTCCGATCCGTCTGGCATAATATGGCTCAATACTGCCCCCACTCCGTAGGGAGACGCATCCGTGGCAAGAATCAGGGGAAGCTCTGGTGAGTAATGAACCAGGCAGTTACCGGACTGTATGAGTTCCTTGACCTTCAAAAACGATTGCTCACATTCTTTGTTCCAGTTGAACGCTACATCGTTTTTAAGTAAATTGTTCAAGGGATACAATACTGTACTTAGGTTCTTGAAGAACCGGCCATAATAATTGACCAATCCAATGAATGATCTTACCTCATCTCTGTTCTTTGGATGCGGCATACCTTGAACAGCATCCACTTTCTCTCGAAGTTTGTGAATTCCCTCCTTGTCAATTAAGTACCCACAGTACTCAATCTGGTCTGCAAAAAAAACGCACTTGTCTTTGTTCACGCTGATTCCGCATTTGTCCAACCGCTGGAGAACTTCGTCTAGCCGAACTAGGTGTGATTTATCGTCAGAAGCAGTAATCTTAATATCGTCCAGGAATACCCCTACGCCATCAATTCCCTGTAGTATGGCCTCCACCTGCCTTTGCCAGATCGCAGGGGCGGATGCCACACCATACATCAACCGGTTCGGACGGTACAGGCCACGATGGGTACTTAAAGTAAGAATTTCCCTATCCTCTGGAGCCACCTCCATCTGCAAGTATGCCTGAACGAGATCGATTTTAGTAAATTTCTGTCCACCAGCAAGTGAAGCAAATAACTCGTCGACTGTGGGAAGTGGATGCTTATCCACCACCAAGCTCAGGTTCACTGTTTGCTTATAGTCGCCACATATGCGAACACGGTTCAGCGACTTTTTTACTGGTACTATTGGTGTGGCCCAGTTGCTTTGGTTCACTTTTGTCAGCACTCCTTCCGCAACCAGCTTATCCAGTTCCATTTCCACGATCTTTTGCAGACTGAACGGTATTTTTCGCGCTTTAAGGTACACTGGTTTAGCATTCTCCTTCAACGGCAATTTAGCTTGGACACTCGATATTTTTCCGATTTTCTCTTCGAAGACTTTTGGATATTTATCCAGTACTTTTCCCAACGCAGCATTTTGACAGGACATCGTAGCAGCGAGTACATTCACCACATTCGGGTTTTGAAGCACTGTATTCCAGTCAACTGGCAATTCTTTCAACCATTCGCGACCGAGTAATGGATGTTTATCCGATTTCGCGACGTACAGCGGCAGCTCCACCGATTGGTGCTGAACTTCCACAACCATATCAAGCACTCCCAGCACAGGTATGCTGGTGCCACAGTAGCTCACGAGGCTCAAATCACTTTTCCGTAAACACACATTTGAAAAGTATTTGTCCCGAAACCACTCATTGATTATGCTGACCGGCGATCCCGTATCGACTTCAAACTTCATGTCCACTTTGTTTACGCGTACTTGGAACCAAAACTTTTCGTTTCCCGACGTTTTATCCACGACGCACACTTCCTGCACTTTTACCTCGTCGTTGTTATCAGCATTCGCGGTGTGATCAACATAATTGGATTGAGCCGATTTATTTTTATACGCGGATTGGCCCGATTTCGTTTTCTGCATGCACACCCTGGCAAGGTGTCCGGTTTGTTTGCAAAACAAACACTCCGTGTCTTTGTGTTTACACACGTTCGCCAGGTGCGACTTTGCTCCACACCGATAGCAACTTTTTTCCGAATCATTAGCGCTGTCTTTATGTACTTTCTTCTTTTCCGGTTGACGGTGAACTACATGAACATCACTCCTGACAAATTGTCCTTCAATTTCAGCTCCTCCTTTGCGGGACAGCTCCATGCCTACAGCAATGTCTCGAGCATCCTGTAGAGTAAGATTCCGCTTTTCGAGCAACCGGCTGCGAATATCATTCCTCTTAATTCCAAAAACCAACTGATTTCGTAGGGCCTTCTCGAGATACTGATCGAAATTACATGTGATGGCTATTCTACGCAAGGCCACCAAGTATTCGTCTACTGTCTCCTCCGCCGAAACCGCGTCTTTATCACCTTGTCGCCGACAATTGAAACGGTAGTTTTCGGAAATTTCCAACGGCTGCGGGTTGTAATAGGCTTCCATCAATTGCACAATCTCCTGGAAAGTTTTCGTTCGTGGGGATGCGGGTGCAAGTTTGTCGCAAATGACATCATAAGACTCCGGTCCCATATGATGCAGCAATAAATTCCTTCGCATCTCTACATCCGCAACCCCGTAGATAGAAAGAGCTGTTTCCAACCGTTCCACCCAACGCGACCATTTGAGCTTCTTCTTATCGAATGGATCCATTCTAAAATTGGGTGGCGCAGCTGCAGCAGCACCAGCAGCTGGACCCAGCATCTTTTCCTTGCGATAACTTTTGCACTTTCCCGGTTATTCCCGTCAATCCTCGTCGCCAGAACTGTTGTGACGGCCGAGAATTAATTACACAACAGTTAACGAGTATTTAATTGTGTTTATTCAATATAATAATGATGGAGTTTTGTCTCGTGGGTTTTCTTCACTCTCTCTCCTTTTTGAGCTTACTCTTTCTACTTCGCGAACCAAATGACATGACAAAAAGCAAGGTGTTTAAATATAAGGTGAAGTGATACACTCAAAGAAATAGCAATGTTACAACAGTGGATTGCTTGACGAACCGGCCACTTCCACCGAATTACTGGCCACTTTCAGATGCGCATAAGAATGTTTCCACTGGGGATCCAACGAGGGATCTAACGGATACGAGAAATTGTTCTGGATCTAAAAAAAAAACAAGGGAAAGATTTTACTTCAGATAATTTATTTTCAATGCGTTATGGTGCCTATACTTACTATCATTTTATCTGCAATCCTGCAGATTGTCTCGAATGTGGTGTGTTCGAGCGACTATGCTTCCTCTTATTAAAATCCCGCTCCATGTTCCTATTTTTGATGGATGGCGGAACTTTCCACAGGTCCAAACACTCAAGCAGGTAGATAAAATTGTCCACATTAAATCGGTTTAAAAATAACGTTTCAGGCCGCATTGACTTCTTGCCGCAAGATTTCACCAATACAACGTTGCTAGTGTAGCCGTGTAAAATCGATTTGTTTATTATTTTCAACCACGAAATCAGCTGTCAAAGTGTTCGACTTGACAGCGGTTTGTTTTTTATTTTCAACCAGTAAAATTCTTGTACTAGTGAAACTGCTCACTAATACCAACAATCAATACGAAACTAACGATTTTAAATTGGCTCACCACTTTAGTAGCCTATTGGTCCCAAGCAAACGATTAACGTACCCTATTCTAGTTGAAATTCTATTACTACACTATGTTTGTTTTGATTCGCTATGAAAGTTTGACAGATAACATCAGGGGTGTGTGGATTCATGCAGAACATGCAGGGGTGAGTGAAATAGCTTGGGACTGCTTGGGACCGTTGTTCTGGTACTGAGTGAGCCAAAAATAATAATGATTTTCATCGGGACCCAGTGGTCTTAGAGTTACCTCTATGCTAATACTAAAGGTGGTAGAGAACTCTATTCGATCGCCGCGAGTGCATAATTACGTGGTCTTCCATTTGTGAATTGAAACAGATCGAATTGGGGCCTAGGGGAAGTACAACTTGATCTGAAGTAATATTTTATGTAAAAATTGCTCAAATTGGTAGATATTATAATTTTTAGTATAAATATTAATGATATTAACTGTCAAGTGGAAAGCTTCAAAGTAAAAAAAAAAATTACAGTGTAACTTTAACGTATACACTCAATGACGTTGCACCGTTGTTGTTTATGTTTACTGCAGCTTTCTGTTTGTCATAATTTTTGCCTAGATTTTCGTTTTCGATAGCTCTGATCGATTTCGACTTCGGATTTTCATGATAAAAACGGTACTGGACGTTCCCCCAGCAACAAATCTCTCCAAGTTGCATTCTCATGGCAAATCGAGCGTAATACGACCACGGGACCATCACTCTGGGCTTCCGTTAACAGGGGCGGCGTTGTCAATCGATTCCCGTTCCATAGGAGAACAGCACATTGGTTCACAGACGATAAAGAATTCGTGGAAATTAATTCCTGGGAATGGAAGTGCGTCCGATTATGTGCACTGAGAACAGTTACCAAAAAATGCCGAATTTATGAGAACAAGGAGCGGACTTTGGTGGCGGTGGCCAGCAAGATCACAAAGGAATGACTTGCCTCTCGTGTGAAATACATTTTTGATTAAACGAATGTCAAATGTACACTTAAAACAAAAATAGTCAAAAACAAACAAAAAACAACTGTCAGACTAAGTATAAGATTTGCAAATATCACACATATTAAAATATTTAACATTTCCACCATCGGTATTGATACTGATACTTGGAGCTGTCCTTCCCCTAGATTGGGGCACATTTTACTAACGGAATTGAGGCAAACGTTTGCTAAACTCATTTGATCCCTACACACACGTGACTGTTTTCGCTCTTTATGCACTCACACTTTTCTAAAACTACTCATAAATGAGTAGAAGTCCACCCAATGAAGAAGTGATTTTGACAGCTCAACAATTTTCGATCTGAAAATTTGCACTTTTAGAACTACAAGACAAAAACATAACATTTACTTTTAAATTGAAAACTACCTAGTTGTATTAAATGTTGTCATTGCTAGAATAACGAATTAGTGGATACTTTTAAATTGAAAGGTCAGTATTTTTAATGATACAATTTTTGTTTTTTGTGTGCGAAAACCCATTAATGGGTATAAAAATACCCATTTCCGCTAAAAGTGCCCCTCCTCATTTAATGGGTAAACTATGGTTTACTCATAAATGGGTAAATGGGTGGTCTGTCAATAAATGGGTGTTTTTTCACCCATTTTCTTATATTGTGTTTACCGTAAAATGGGTGAAAAAATACCCATTTTTACAAATGGAGGATGCAAGCGCTTGTTGATGTAAAAATGTTTTTAAAACATTGAAAATAAATGCAGGTGTTCCGCTCAAATTTTTCTCGAAGCATTATAATACAAATTATCCATTGTATTGACTTATCCGTAACCCGCATAAACGCGAACCATAAATTTACCTTACCTAAAATGGTTAAAAATTGTTTATAATCCCTGCTAAACTTTAACTGAAATGGTTATGGAACTTCACATGAACGTTTAATGATAATGTTTCAACCTCGGTTTCAACCTTATGTATTATGGTTTTTGGAACTGGACCTTACAAATAATGGGTTGTTAAGAACCATTACCGTTCCAAATTCTTGTTTTCTCCTTACATTTTCGGAAAGAGAACTATATTAGAACCTTTTAACTTATGGTTTGAGAACTTTAATTGTAATGGTTATGGTAGTCAGTAAGGTCCACGAATGGTTTTGTAACATCGATCAACTTTATGTGAAATATATCGCGAATTGGTTGCCTGTAATTTACTGATTACCAATTCACGATATATTCCACGTAAAGTTGAGCGATAATACAAAACCATTAATGGACCTTACTGACTACCATAACCATTACCATTAATGTTCTCAAATCATAAGTAAAAACGTTCTTATATAGTTCTCTTTCTGAAAATGTATGGAGAAAACAAGAATTTGGAATGGTAATGGTTCTTAACAACCCATTATTTGTAAGGTCCAGTTCCAAAAAACCATAATACATAAGGTTGAAACTTTATCATTAAACGTTCATGTAAAGTTCCATAACCATTTCAGTTAAAGTTTAGCAGGGATTATAAACAATTTTTAACCATTTTAGGTAAGGTCAATTTATGGTTCACGTTTATGCGGGAAGCCTCTCCAACGTTTTGGATTCTAACATTTTCCGGAGATCGTTGCTGCGGACAGTAAAGGCCGGTGCACAATAGATACGTTTTCGGGTTTTTTGACAGATAATGTATGGGCTAACTGTCAAAAAACCCGAAAACGTATCTATTGTGCGCCGGCCTTAACTGTTTGCATCGAGGTTTGCATTCCCAATGAGCCGGTGACGGAAATGAGACGATAAATTTCGAAGTGTTTTTCACGATTCTGTGACACTACCCCGAATGTCACTACCCCGAATGTCACTACCCCGAACGCCGTTACCCCGAAAGCTACTACCCCGAATGTCCTACTACCCCGAACGCCATTACCCCGAATACCCTACTACCCCGAATGACCATAACCCCGAAATTAAGACAAACGGAAGAACAGCATGCGATTAAAAGGATAAGGATTGTGCTACATTTCCCCGAATGCCATATCCACGAAAAAAAAAAGTTAGGAATTTTTCAACCTTGGCAATTTTCTTACTATATATTGAGCATAGTGAGCAGATTGCAACCCACCTTAAATTTCAAACCATGCAAATGGAAGATTTAATATGAGATTAACCCAACTACCAATTAATTTGCTTCGAGTAGCTAGAAACCCATTCCCAAAGCACAGGATGCTCACTATGCCCCTCTTTTCCCTATATTAATGTATTGAGCCGTTTATGGTGGTAAGCTCCAGCCGGTATTATCCTCGGATTAAATCCCGACCAAGAATGTCAGGCTGCTTTGATGTCGATATCAGAGTGAATTAACACAACTCTAAGCAACCACTTTGCAGATCATCCAAACAGGGACGGTATTAAAAGTTAATCCGAGTTCGAGCTTACCGCCATTAAAGCATTTTCATTTTTATATATAGAATAATAATCCAAAACCAGTATGCTTGTTTTCAGTTCATTTATTATTCATCATTATTTGATTTGTTTCTTGGAACACCGTTGAGAAATTCTTCCTTTTTTTTAGACATGAGCAGTTCTTTGGAGTTTTGAGGTTTTCATACTTTTAAACACTGGAATGTAATTGTAGAAGGAGAAAAAGTAATTTAATAAACAGTAATTGGAATTTTTTCCTTCTTTTGATCATGAGCTATTCTTTCAAACTTAATTGGACCAGAACATGATTAAAAATAATAATAAGTAATTTTAGAAAATAAATGGATATTTTTTCTTCTTTTCATGAACTATGGTTCAATTTAATACGAAAGAACAGCTCATGAAGAAATTAAGGGAAAAGATATCTTTATTGGATATTTCTCCTTCTTTTGAATATGAGCAGTTCTTTCAGAAGGAAAATGGGAATATTCTCATCTTAGAATATTCGATTATGAAGGAATATTATTATATTTTCAATCCATTTGTTGAAGTGTCACTAAAGAGGGAAACTTCAATGCAGAACATATGAATCTCATACACCCAGATCGCTGTGTGAAGGATTATAATTTTTTTTTTTTTTTATAATTCGTTTATTTTTCCAGGCTCATTTGCTGTAGCTTTGCGGAGCCGATATTCATTGTTTAAATAACAAAATTACTTAAAACTAACGTTAGTAAAGCGGAGGCCGATTA